TATGAGCATAGGCGCACAAATTTTTGGGAGCAGATGCACCGCTGCCCGGCGTTGCAGTCTCCGTCTCGCCGCGCGGTGTCGGATGCTGCAGGTAACACGGGATGTCGGACGACCTCCTCACGAGAATGACGAATTATGTGTCAAGAAATATCTCTACCAAAGGATTTAATATATATTCGCACCGGTCGCATGTCAGACTCGGCATACTTTGCACCCGTGCAATCTTAAGGTTGATTCTCTGGACGCCTTGGCTGTTACAGCAACACCAATAACAGCCACTTCGCCATTACCTCAAGGGTTTGTCGTGCTATAAGTGAGCATCCGTTCCGAGCATCAGTCTGAAAATAGCACAGGTGAAGTCTGCGGCCCGAGCTATCTCAAGCACGTGCAAAACCCATCGTTAATGAGTTGCTGCTTGGACTTTTTGACGATTTGATTTGCATCGAAATTGTGTTAATTTTCATTCTCCTCTCACCACTTTTGCTATCTGGAGACTGATCAGCTAGATATGCTACAAAATGACGTTGATGGCTGCTCGAATGTCATGGCATATGTCTAGTAAAAATCCCAGAATAATCGAAGCGCAAGTACTTATCCACTGCGCATTTAGTACGTATGCGAATACGGGCGGCTAGCCTGTGACCTGGGGTCGTGATCGTAACGGTTTGCCAATTTTTTTAAAGGATTCAATCCCGATATTTTGATTGGATGAATTTCTGGGATCAGCTCTTACCTGAGACTGTGCTTGTTGCGTAAGTCCTGACTCCACCACCCAATCGTGAAATTCCCAATTAATGACATACTTAAACGGCGAACGCCCGACCAACGCTAGCCACTTTTCGTTGCTTAGCGTTGTCATGTGATGCGAGACGTAACGGAACGGAAAAGCTCATTAAGAAACCAAATTCACGCGCACCTTAGTGTGAAAATATCTGGTGTCGAACCTCATATAGTCACAACGGCAGACTGATGTTCCACAGTACTCCCTTGCTGGGAGCGGAAAAGTTTTCATCTGCCAAGAACGGCGCTCTCTCCCGTCTCGTACGTAGGCTGAGTGTGGATCGCGTTGTGGAATCTCATCGATTCCAATGTTTCGCTACTTAACGGTTCTGTTTCGTCTCGAATCGCAATGAAATAGAAACGGCCGCCGTGTTATGGTCCCGGGGCTACCGGCACTAGCCCATGCGGTTTGTGATGTGTATTGTGCGTGATTGCCGGTTTGAAGGAACAAGCAAGAAGGGAGAACGAACGGATGAGCGAGAATGAAAACGAGTTTAAGCAATGAACCAAGTCACATAAAAGGCGAAGAGTGACCGTCCTGGCTCCCTGCGAAAGTTGGGCCAGTGACCATTTTTGGTGCATGAGGTATGCAGCCGTCCTAAAAGCTGACAATTCCGGGGTAAACGTAGTGAAGCCTAACTGAACACTCTTTTAAACGTGATCTTCTCCCTATTTCCAACATTTTGTTTCTATGAGGAACACTTCAAGTTCTTCCAGCTTGGCCGTCTCGATGGCTTGGCCGTCGCGATGGTGAGTTCGAGTCGTTTTAGGCTCTCGCTATCTGCCCTTGACAGGCATAGGCTGTGGCCGGTGGCGGCCGCCGCGATAAAGGTCATATGACGTCAGAGAGCTGGGCGAACTGTACCGAACATTATGGCACGTCAAGCTTCCGCCACCAAATTCTTCCGTTGACATGAAATTACGCGATCGGGTGATACGGCGAGGGCTAACACAACAAACATTGCTTAGCGTGTGCTCTGATCCCAGAGATCCCTCCATTCAAAAGATTCGGATTAAATCTAAAAACTCGTACCAAAGCGTCGGTCACGCTATTCTAAGACGGTCACACTGTTCACCAGTCTTAAATCCTCTGTCCTTTCAACTATAGATATGTCTGTTGAAAGGCTGTTTCACTTTGCACTTCACACACTTCAATTGCACTTTTGAATAAGAGAAGTATCAATTTGCGTCAAATGACGTCCATAGCCTCTCGCACAGTGTCAGACCACGCCATTCAGAATAAAACCAACGGTTTACGTCCCGGGCCACAACCAATGAACGATAAATGAGACCCGTTTCGTCGATCGCATCAGGCCGTTTGACTTACACGTTTTATTGCAAAACAATGACCAAATGTAGTTACAAAATGCAATGTGTTGTATCACACGGAACAAAATGATTCCTAGATGAGCACAAGCATAAGCAATATTTCCTAAAAGAGGCTGAATTCCGTGAAAAATGTCCGGCTTTGGGGCAGGTTGTGCCAGCCTTGTCGGCTGAGCTACCCCAAACAATTTTAGAAAGTGACAACTTTGCCCGTATGCGATTAAATCCCACTAATAACATTTTTGTGCTCAAGGAGATGCCAAGGAGTTGCAAAATGTGCACGGCTGGTTTTGACTATAGCAAGTGGTACCAATGCAGAAATGAATCCCAATTCCCAGAAACATTTCAGAAGTGGTTACATCGATGAAAGGTCGATATAATTTGGCCAGTTCGGTAACCACTGAAGCAAGAAAAACCTGTGCGCCTTCGGTGCGTCAAAATGATCAACGAAAAACGAGTTGAGCTTTTGCTTGAAGAGGATGAGAGGGTCGGATAGATCCCATGGTTATTCGGTTGTGGCGAATTGGCGTAACGGCTACCTGATATGTAAACGCACACCAGGTTATTATTAAAACAACGCATGCTTAAGAGTAAATGAAACATCGCACACCTTCGGCTCGTCAAGAATGGTAGCAGGTTTCCAACAGCCACCGGACCTGCGCACCGGTTTTTCACAAAAGCACCACTTTCCTTGAAAAAGCAAGTTAAATGGACATCTCTCAAAATGAAGTAATCTAAAGCCGAGTTGTTCTAACAGCGTAAGTGCATGGCGTCTTTGTGCTGAACTGGGCTCCAATGACCCGGGGCCCGATGATCCTGGATCTAACCCCCGCTCCTCCACACACTTTCTGAGAACGATCTCGAGCCTTGACCGCCATGCAACGAAACATGGTCGGTACGGGGCGAGATTTAAAGGAATTGTTAAACCCTCGAAGATATTGAAGCAAATATCAAACACGATGAAATAAGCATACTAATAACTATAGGTGCACCCTTAAGTGGAAAAGACTGCACAGTTTTTGTCTAATAAATATGCTCCTCAATACGCCAGCGTTTGATTACGTCATCGTACCTGGCACAACATTGGTTGGGAGCCAATCGACAGCCGTTATATATGAAAATCGTGTTCACGAACGCTAGATATGATCGACTCCACACTTTTGTCCTGCTTTGCCTCGATCGCTGCATGGCCATTGGAATGACGCGAATTAAATGACATTATGGTGTCATGGATGCCTGGATGACTTTGAAATAGTCTCCCGGAAATAGTCTGCACATCTTCGTGGACGCGTAGCCGAGAAACAAGTAGGGCTCATGACTTAAGAGGGACAGAGCTGCGAACTGCAACGAATGATCTCTAAGATGGCTTTTTCGGTTCAAAACCCTCTACAAATGAGCAACACTCCCTTTGACGTGCCGGAATGCTCGGCACCGTCCGGCATACCCACTGATATCACCCAACGTTTGCGCGACCACTGCCACAAACATGCCATTCGAGAGCCAATGTAAACACCCAAAGCGACTTGAACCCACCCGCCATGGATGGATGAACTGGAACCATGCGTTTTATGCAACTCAGCCGCCGGGACGAACCACTGACATATAAGTAGGGTGCATGTAACTGTGTGCGGTGATATTATCAACATGAATTCACCTCAATACTCATTCGATTATATTGTGTAAGGGCTAGTCTCAAACATATTATTTTGGCCCGCATGTATGCCGATTGATTGCTTTAGTAGATGATCCAAGGTCAAACGACCGCACTCGGTCGAGCAGTGTCACTTTGTAAAAACGGGTGGGGGGGGGGGGGGGGGGGGGGGGGGGGGGGGAGGGGGGAGTGGGCTGAGCAAGTAAAGTTGAACTAGTCTGCGGTGAAATCCTGATCTCTCCCGGACTTGGGCCACATTGATTTGAGTCCATACTAAAATATAGCATTCCCTTTTTCTTGTTTTTCTCATGTTTGCATTCGAGGGGAGGGGCAGAAGAACATTGAGGAGGCTCAATTCAGCACTTGGAGAGGGCTAGACCCCCGCCCGAAAATGCAAAGTGACACCCCTGGCCCAGTGCATATCTGTGTGGGCTAAGCTTTTGGATCTGTATATTCCTTATTCTTATAAAAAGTACGACAACGTCCGCAGTTTTCTTTTCAGCCGTTTTCTGTCCAACGCATGCGGTTAACAATATGCTGTCATATGACCTGGGCAATCCCGAGATGAGCAAGAGCGCAACATATCTCATGTTGCTTTAGGGTGGTTCCGCCCATTGACCTATATGGTTCCGCCGGCGGATAATCTCGGAAAATTATCCGGAATGTTGGAAAATTTTCCGGAATGGCGTTCGGCTCTGCCGTTATGCAAAATTATCCCGGATAATTTTCCGTGACGAGGGAGAATCGCGGAGAATTTTCAGAGCATGTTCAAGACGGAGAATCTGTTTTTGCTATGCATAGCAAGACCGTTGGCTGTGGATAGCCCATGGGAGACTAATCTGGGGAAAATTTCCGGACCGTCCCAGTAAAAATGGAGAATCTCCGCGGATGATAAGCGAAGAGATAATTATTCGTTGGATCATTTTTCCTTGGCCGAACCCGCCCTTAATATGGCCTTCCACGCAACAGGTGACCAAAGCTTATAACGATGCTACGTTTCGGAAAATGATTCTGAGTTGTCAATGGTGCAAACTAAGGCAATGCAAGTATCCGATTGTCCTATCCGAGTCAATTGCGACCAACACCGTCGATAACGATGCTTTGTATCATCGGATGTACTATATAAGAAGCAGTTAGCCAAGCTTTGGCGCTTACTTGGCATAGTTGGATGACGTCATAGCACACTGCGACAACGAATCCGAACCTAATCGGGCCACCTTGAGACAGCGTTTCGCTCAAAGCTTGCGCCGTTGTTCGGTGCGTGGGGAAGGTGGGGATGGAATTTTTGTGGATTTCGTGATTTGTCGGAGAGGTTAGAGTGTGTGCATGTGGAATTTGAGGTGCCGGTGAAATGTGGAATGACAGCGGAACTTTGCGGTGTGGCGGTAAAGTTAGGGTTCAGTTGAATGTTCGGGTTTAATCCGAATTTTTGTGTTAGTTTGGTTTGAGGTTTTACCTGAGCGCAAAGACAAAGGAGGCGAAATGCCTGGGATGAATACGGCTGTGAATAGAAAAGGTAAGCTATGTTAACTACTTCTCGCATGAAAGGGGACGCTTGACAATCAGGTGGGTTGATTGCTTCCTGCTGATAAAGTTAAATGCAGTGTGAACTCAGTAATTTACTGCCACTTGAAAAGCATGGCCCCCAAATGGTTACTTATGTAGGACAAACAATTGAATGCTAAGTGTTCATGTGATCTGTGTGTTCATAAGCATTCAGGTTGTTGGTGTACCATGCTTTCAACCTGTGTGAACCTATAGAAGTTTGTGTTGAGTTTTGATGAGGCCTAGTATGTCCCCACATTCTAATTATTTATCTAGTCAGGTGGCTGTTGGATCACAGGAGGGCACTGGTCTGGCTGATTCTTGACTTGGTGGAGGATGCTGATGCTTACCCCTACATTAATTTTTCAAACTTGAAGATTCAGTTTCCCAGTTAAACACCTGAAAGTTTTCACCAGACTGTCAAACCTTTGCTGTTGCATACTGCTCAGTTCCAATCCCTAGTGGTTTTCTCTCTGGTGTGTTTTTAACACTTTATTTGCCTAAGTCTTTCTACAGATGTAGTGACTTTATCTTCCCAAAATCCTTACAGTCCTTTGTCTTGTAGGGCTTGACAGCCTGCACCAAATATCAATGTTAAGTCTGATATAAATGATATGCAATGCTTAAAAGTTTAGTGGAGATAGGTAATCAACAGGTATGTGAAGGATCTCAGTGCTAATTTAGTGCTGTTTGCTAATTTGTGAGAGATTCAAGCTGTCTGTTTTCCTCAAGTCCTTCATATACTTTGTAGGTACATATGCTACTGTTTGTTGACAATGTTGATTAAGATTAATGCATTTTGCTTGAATGGTTGCATGCATAATGTTTGAAACATGGTTTTTTGCAAAGATCCAAACCACTGGGCCATCTTATTGAGGCAGTAGTGTATCAATTTTAAAAAGTTTCAAACAAACAAATTTTAAAAAATCAGCTTACATGTACTGCATTATATAAGTAATCTGTGTAATGCAGCACTATATGTGCTATCTCAGTCATGGGTAAATATATATCTTAAAACAGCTCAAACCTACCCAACAGTAAGATACTTTATGCTGGAATAAGATAAAAAGAAATTATAATCACTTGAAATATGCATTTTTCTTACTGTGGCCAGATAAGTTACTGATACCTACCATGATCTGCTCTGGATTTGTGATGTGAATTGTTTGAAATAGTTATGGCATGACCTTTGCATTGTACAAGGGTTGCATTGCACTTGTATATGTACCTTATGCCAGCAGCACTGTAAAGTGTTTACCACTGGAAGGAGCTAAAGACAAATCAGCTGTGTTATGATTGTTGAGTGCTATTTGTGTGCTCTGTGCCATCTGGATTGTGCATGACCGTGGCAGTCAAATGTGCATGGAAAATCATGAAACCAACTTGGTTATACATTTTATAGTAATGCCTAAGTTGTGACATCTTGGGCGTGATCAGTTTGTGGCAGTGGCTTAAAGAAGTCTGAAATGACTGTGATCCAAAATTGTTGCCTTGAGGGAAAGTTGCAACATGCTGTTTGGGTTATCTAAAATGTTCCTTTTTTGATGTTATCTATTTACGTGATAATTAGGCACACTTATCTTGGAATGGGCTGTGAGGGAGGCAAGTACAATCAGTAGCATGTTCACTGGTGTTCCAGTTCATACCATTAGAAAAAAAGCACATGAGTGTGAGCTATTTACTGGTGTTCCAATTCATACCATTAGAAGAGAGCGCAGAAGTGGTAGTGTTCCCACTGTTCAGCGTTTTGGGGTGATGTGAAAAGCCACCATCAACATCTGCATTTTTTTATTATGCATTTTGCTGTCTCATATCATGGGTCCAATCCAGGTTTCCCCTGTTCAGAGAGTTTTGCTTCCATTGTTACTAAGTTGGGAAAGAATATGTTGTTGAGGTATCTCTCAGAGCATGTATTAATATCTTGAAACATCTGCCATCCATTTTGTAATGCAATACTCAGTATTACATATCCTCCAGATCAGCCCTAAAACAGGGCACCTTCTCATCACTGTGGCTTTGGGGAGGGTGAGGAGAGGGGCTCAGAACATTCCCCCCCCCACCTTAACTTGCAAAATCAAGTTCTGACCCAGCACAAAAAGCTGAGCTTTCCCCCAAGGGCCCTTAAGCTCTCAGCTAACTTTTGCTGCACTAGTCATGCAGACTTTTTGTGACCTTTGTGTGACCTTTGTGCTAACATGACATGATATTGCAGCTCTGAATATGTGATAGTTCTTCCATTTTGTTTCTTGCTGGTGTTTTGCAGTCAACTGATCATGATCCTCTGGATGATGTGTAATCACATTTAGTTCTAAGATATATTTTGCAATGCAGCCACCTGTGTGGTTTGCTGATTTTTTCAAGCAATTGCAATGAAGCACTGGATGTAAAATTAAATATGGAGCCTGGCCAATTCCACCCTGGATTTTTAGAATTTGATGAAAAACAAACATTTTTAGTTTCCGTTACATTACCATGATTTATGAATGATGCCTTCAGTACACATGTTACAGGGCTGGTGTTTTTGAAGTGTTGTGATGCTTTGAGGATGCACAGCTTTTGTATTGATCCCAGGCTACTCACACCTCCCATGTCTTTCATCAGCACAGTCTGTAATCCCATATGTTTGACATGGATGGTCTGCTGTGTTGGGCTGATTTTCACATTTTGGTGGTGGTATATTTTAAATAGTTTATTGAGATGGTGCAATGGGTGTTGAACAATTTGGTGATCTTTATGCTGTTGTTACTATGCAGTGTAAGGTTTTCCTTTGAGTTTGGAAGAACATTAAATTGACCTTATCGGCATGCCCTGCATTTACTCTCCCATGATATCAATGACTGGTGACCTTTGGCATCCAGTGGATTTAATAGAAAATCTAAGTTGGCATAATTTTTTGCCATTCTCCCATTAATGGTCTGTCTGTGTGCACATACACTGTTAGACTTTGGTAATACTGGCAAGAAGGTCATCAGGTCCTGGGATATGTTAGTACTATTGGCTCTTATGCTGATAATAACTGACCTTTGATAGGATATAAGGAAATCATGGTTACTGGATATATCAAGCAATCATCTGGATAGGTTATAAAAATATGCAATATGCCAGGCAGTATTCTCATAATGTATATCAATGAATGATTATCCTCTAAAATGTAAGTGGTGGAAGTATTCTCATCACATGCCCCTACAAATGAGCACTATATTTGTTTGACCAGTATCGGTTGCATTGGAGTTCTGGTATTTTCAGCAAAGGAACTCAACACATTTAAAATAGATGGGATTTCTTAACTGTTATACTTGAATTAAAGTCATAATGAGCATTTTGTGACGATTGTTGTAAAACAACATGCTACAAAAACTAGACACCCATCCATACCGACGTTTTATTGCTGTTACCATATAGAAGTCTGAGAACAAAGAACTGAGCAGAATAAAGCAATGGCATTTCACCCATGGAATCTGAGATCTTTCATCCGAACATTCCATTCATTTTTGTTTTGAAAGTTTCATTCCATCCGAGTATTTCCGAGGTCTTACAAGCAGCAGCAGAGTGCTGGAGAAAAGGTCTGACTTTCATGTCACTTACAGTGACCACGATTATCTTTGAGGTAAATAGTGAAATCAGTTGTGAATCGTAAACCATACTAGACTATGGCCTGGTCCATCTTGCAGGGTGCAGGTTCAATGAATCAGTTGGAAGCCCAGTTAGGCATAACAAGGCAAAACTTCCCTGGGAAATCTATCGCGAACCAGAATTTTGCCCTCAGTGGACATGCTCGACACTCCCAACTAGTCCAGAGGCCAGCTGTGAAATTGGGGTAAGGGAGCGGGATGAGCTGAGGTTGAGTTCGGAAGTTTGGACACCAGCCGTATAACGGACCACGTTTTTACCGTCCTGGTCATGTCAGGCCGTTGCTCACACTCGCGCCAGCGAAAACATGGACGAACTGCCGGGCCTGATTTAGAGACCGTCAAGCACCTGTCCAGCCACCATTGTTAAAAACTAATGGTAGTAGCAACTGGCATGCAGTATACCATGGTCGACTGCCGTATCTGGCCCAATGGCCCATCTCGCGCCCAGCCGAAGTGTTGAGGACAATTACTGTACGACCGTCTGTACAACTGGTGTAACCTGTTAGAAGTCTCCGTGGTATGTCAACAGACGATTATATTACTTTTTCAGCTAACGATGGAACAGTGAGTTCCATTATGATGTGCACAGTGCAGCGTGCAGATGTTTTCGTCTCATACAATGTGGCCTATAACCTAACCTAGTTTGCCTGTCTTCCATTGTAGTTGTTCGCCTGCGTGTGCAAATTGACCTGTACGCACAGGAGGTCTTTGACACTAGCGGTGACCATACTGCGCAGAGGAAATTCCCGGTTGTGTTCAAGTCAGTGTCCACAGAGTTGCTGTTTTTTTTTGGGGGGGGGGGGTGCGAAGGGGGTGGGAGATTTTATAGATTACGTCGAATGGTTTCGCTGACTGACTTGTTGCACAGTTCGTTTTTCGAGCCAAGCGTTTTGTGTGCCGTGAACTCAGGGCCCGCTTTGCGCCAGCTCATTGCGTCGGGGAAATTCTGGTCACCGTGAAAGGACGCGACGCGGCCACACTACGGGGCGGTGGAGGCTATTACTGGCATTGGCAGCGGTGTATTGTCTGTCAACCTCTGGACGCTTGCGCGAGGAGGGAAGCACCAGTCTGGAGTCACCGTGACCCAGTTGGAAGAGCTTCGGACACTGGCCAGCATAAAGCAGACATGTGGGCCCGCGTCCCGGAAACCACGCTTGCCATGACTCATCCGTCACTGACAGCGAGCTAGCAACTGGTCGGCCAGGTATGAATCATGGCGGCCTTGCCATGAGATGGTAGTGCGCGCCAGAATGCTCCCGCGGAAAATGTCCGTTGATCTTGAATTACGGCACTCCACAGTGCTCTGGGGTGGGAGGGTTGGGTTGCCTTGGTCTTGCTATGGTCTTGCCAAGCTCTCTTCGGTAGGTACTTTCATCCCAAGCCCTTTCTTGATATTGAAGAAATATAAAGGCGGAAATGTAAAAAGGACACGTGTCGGTGTATTGTAATGCAACGTCATGTGGCTAATGCAGGCATGTGGCTGGAGAGTGTAGAATAGTTCTGCTCCACCCGTTCCTTATTTAACCGCGTGTTCAGTCATGTTATGATGCGTGACTTCTAAGGTGACCTTTGCGGTCGGGGACCTCTCCCGTTGGTATTTGTACGAACACGCTGCAACTACTGCGCTTTACATCCGCTTCAACTGCTCAACGCAGCGTGTCTCTGAGAAGCTAACCGTTCCTGTCAGCTACTTGTGATGCCCACTCAAGTTTGCGGAATGGGTGCTGGGTAGCCCCCTAATGCAGCCTAAAACCCTGATATTCAAACTCCGCCCAACCGAATGAGACCGATTTAATGTGACATTTGATCAGCGACGCTGTTGACGTCAGCTGCAGGGTATCCGCGCCGGGGTTACACATGCTTTGCAGCGTATATGAATGCTGCACATTGCGACAAATCGGCTTTGAGTTATTCGGCCGTGCAAAAGTGCCGTTTTCATTTCAGTAGGCTCGGATACATTTCATTTGGTTTTCGTGTGTCATTTGGCTTTTTATGCGACGGCTTCAGCAGCTGGTCATTTGGTCTGCTTGCATCTGACGGGTGCCAGTCTGCTCGGTTTGTGATCGTGTGAAGGCGCCATCTGAGCGCACCGATTCCTTCCGCTATCCCGGCACCAGTGTTGCCGCGTAAGTCACTTGTCATCGAGGCGCGTGCTGCGGCAGCTGTGTATGGCAACACTTGCAGCCGAGCGGTGCGCTCTGTCGTGTCGATGAGCCCGGCTCGGCTCGTCAGGTGGACTCGATGTCGCTCCGCTGGCCGCCGCCCGTCGCCGCCCGTCGGTCGCCGGCCGCCGGTCCGTCCCCGGTCCCGCTGGGTGGACTCGACAGCGCTCTGTGCTGGCCGCCGCCCGTCGCCGGCCGCCGGCCGCCAGTCCGTCCCCGGTCCCGCTGGGTGGACTCGACAGCGCTTTGCGCTGGCCTCCGCCCGCCGCCGGCCGCCAGCCGCCAGTCCGTCCGCGGTCCCGCTGGGTGGACTCGACAGCGCTCTGCGCTGGCCGCCGCCCGCCGCCGGCCCGGCTCCGCCCCGCGCCGGCTAGCGGCCGGCCGGCCGACGCCCGCCGCCAGCTGTTGCGGTCGGCTGGTGCTCGGTCAGCTGGTGATGGGTCAGCTGGTGCCCGCTCAGCTGGTGATGGGTCGGCTGGTGCTCGGCGCAGGCATGGGTGCGAATTCAGGCTTTGAAGCCGGATCCAAAGCCAAAAAAATTACTCTAAGCCGAAGCCGAGGCCGGTGGCTTTGATGGTTGCAGCTGCGAAGCCAAACTCAGCGTGTGGCTTCTTATGCTTCAGACATGCATCCGAAACCGGAGTTTGTGTCGTCAGGTTCCAACCCGCGAATCCGGCTTAAAACCACGAGTGAAGTACGAAACGGAATCTAGTGTGCAACGCTGTTTTGCGGAACCTAAACGATTCTCCTTGTGCTGAAGCTGTTTGGGAGCAGACAGTCTCATAAGGGTTTTGTGGAGCGATTAAAGGCAGGTGTTTGGATGACGTATGTAAGAGTTGCAGGCCACCGTCCTTTTCATGTGTTATTGAGTATTGCGTGTTATTTTGGACAGCGTTTCGGACAGTGAGCTCTCCGACCGTCGTCAGGTGTCAAGTGGTTCGGAAAAGGACCGGCCGGTTTTGGCTGGCAGCCATTTGTGTATCGCAGTCTTGGGAAGATGTGTGGCATACTGAAATGACAGATGAACAAGGTTTTTTTTGTTGTGGTAAATTTGTGGTTTCAACCACACCTGCCGTGAAAAAAAACATGATGTAGCCGAAGCTAGCAGCTCAACATGGCATGAAGCCCAAACCGTAGGCGGTACTTAAAATTTTTCGAAACTGAAGCATGGCAAAAGCCGATGTTCAAGATGACACAAAGTTGAAGCCGAGAACGAACTTAACTGTTTGAAATGACATAAAAACGAAACCAGTCGCAGTGAAATCGCTCAAAGCTGATGCCGTAGCTGGCTTCGTCCCTATGCTTGACCGAGGTCCAGCTGGTGTCAGGTCAGCTTGAGCTAGGTCAGCTGGTGCCAGGTCAGCTGGTGCCGTGTCGGCCGTCCGTTGGTGCCCGGGGTCAGCTGGTGTCCTGTCAGCTGGTGCCACATCAGCTGGTGTGAGGTCAACTGGTGCCATGTCAGCTGTCCGGTCAGCTGGTGCCCTCCACCCGGTTGCTGGCTGGGAATGGCGCCAGTCCCCGGCGGGCCGCCAAACGCGTCACGCTTCGACCCGTCAACACCGGCCCCACGGACCGCGCGCTCGGGGCCGGGACGAGGCGACAGCGCCGCCGGCACACAAACAATGAGCAATGGCACGCCGTTACCTCCGCGTGTCTGAAACAGGGGCCGACCGACGCCGCCGGCGTGCCATGAGCAGTGGCACGCCGTACCCTCGGCGAAGCAGATGTCCGCCTGTCCGGTCCGCGCTGCGCCGTGGCTGCCAGCGGCCAACGCCGGAGTCGGCTCTGCCCGTGCGTGGCGGCGGCCGCCGTCGCGCCGGCCCCAGCCGGGCGGCGGGCGGGCCGGCGCCCGGTGCGCCGCCCGCCTGTGCGCGGCACGCGGCTGCCGGCTCTGTCGTCCGGCCTTGCCCGAAATAGTGCCGCCCCACGGCGCGCCCGGGCGGCCGCGGTCAGACAGGCAGGCGTCACCGCCCGCTGGACAGCAGGCGGGCGAGCGCTGGAGAGGGGCGAGCGCGTGCGAGGCGTGCAGGTGCGGCCGCGGATGTCGTGTGCGTGGTTGGACGCGGACGCGTCGGGCGCACTGGGCTGGGACAGCACACACACGTGATGGGGGTGCGGCACCACACGTAATCAACGACGCCGAGCGCGTAATCAGCCTGACGCCGAGCACATCACAGGACTGGGACTCCTATCACGCGTCGGACTTTTGTCACCGGCAGTCCTGCGCTGGTCTTGTCTTGCGAAGCGCGTAGCTTGGCTGGTCACCTGTAAACATTGCGGGGAGAGCGACTGAGCGGTGGTGTGGGGAAACGAATGGTAAACAAGGACTGAAAATATTGACAGACCGCACGAATCAGATTACTCAACGCAAAGTTAAGCTCTTGTTCTGTCCCTCTTGGCTTGTTATGGTAATGTTGCTGGTAGAAGTGAAGTGGGATCCAGACCTAGGTTTTCTCGCGGGCAGTCTATTAAACGTGATGATGTGGAAACACGTCAATTCGATGGGTTCAATCCATTGCTTAGAAAAGGCACCCGACTGACATTGGTGGCACCGTGGTGCCCTTTCCAGAGCGGGTGTCCTGTCGCGTCCGGGCAATGGCCTTCCACGATCATAAAAATACATATTTCGAGCGTCATAGCGGTGACGTTCTTCGGTATCAAGACCACCTGACCGCACGTGCCGTTTGCAGCGGCGTATGCTGTCACGCCAGCTCCCGCTTTTAAGCGCAGCGTGTTGGGCCCGGCGGTGTGGGCCAATGCAGGAGGACTGCTCATTGTCTCGTCTGTCCGGGTGTAACGTTGCAGCCGCGAGAGCGTGCTCCTGCTGCCGCGCAGGCTCGCGGCATGTCGACCCGAAGCGGGGGAGGACGGCCGGGCGGGGTGCACCGGTGGCGGGCGTCCGCCGTCCCGAGCGGCGTCACCGCCTGTGTCGGTCGTGTCACCGCCGTGTGGCAGCAGGTGACAGTGTGCCGACCCCGCGCTCGGGCGCGCGCCGGGGTGCAAAGGTCGGCTGTCGCCGCCGCCGCCGCCGCCGCCACCGCGCACGTGCACCAGCCGTGCTCTCCGGCGCGTGCAGCGGGGCGTGCCGCGGTGCGCGTGCATCGCGCGTGCATTGCGCGTGCACGGCGACACCCTTGGCCCGCTTCCGCTTGCGTGTCGCCGGGTCGGACGGTGATCCGGGCCGCCGCCGCGCCCCGGCTGTTTGCACCGCTCGCCCTCGGCCGGCCGCGCGCTCGGCGCGGCTGGCGCGGCTCAGTATCGCCGCCCGGACCTGCCGGCAGCTCGGGAACGGCTGGCCGGCGGCCGCTGCGCCCGTGACGTCAGCAGACGGCGGCCGCCCGGCCCGCCGCCGCCCGGCCCGCGTTCATTGTTTGGGGGATGGGCGTGGTCGCGCGGGCCGCGGCGGCCTCCGGGATCGGCAGGGCTCGTCGCCGTCGCCTCGCGGTGATGGACTGAGCTGGGGCGACGGGTGTGCAGTCCCACCACACGGCCGACACGCTGCCCCGCCTCCCGAAACGGACGGCGGCCGACGTGCGCGTGGACCGCTGGGGTGGATGGACCCTGGATCGCGTGATGTTTTTCGGTGGCAGGGTCCGGATCGTGGGTGCCATGTTTGCAAGTCAGACGCTTGTTTGGCGCTGCCCCCTCCCCTCCCCCCCCCCCGCCTGCTGCGCCTCTGACGTCACGTCCCGTTCCAGTGCGCGCCATCCAGGCGAAGAAGAAGCGACCGAAGCGGCCGACGGCCAAGCTCAAGCAGCAGATCCAGACGGCCAACGCCGACCGCAACCGCACCAAGACCGCTGAGCCGAACAGGTGCGTGCCGGGGCGGGGCTGCCGTGCCGTGCCGTGACGTCACGCTGGTCGCGCGCGCGTGCGGCTGGGCGCGGCGCGCCGCGGCGGCGGGCTCGATTACGCGGCGGCGGGCCGGCAGCGTGCGGCCAGCCCGCGCCGTCGAAACCTTGCATGGGCCGTGCACTGGCATGACGGGTCGCTGAGCTGGCGGTGGAGGCGGGGGGGGGGGGGGGAGGGGGGGGGGAGGCGGACGGACGGACGGACGGACGGACGGTACTGGCGGGCAGGGTCGGTCCGGCAAGTGGTGCTGGGCAGGCGCGGTCTCGCGTGCGAGATGCTCGCGAGATTGCTGCGGCGCTGAGAATACAGTCGATACGTCCCGGGGTATTGACAGAAGGTGATACTGAGTTGAGGGATTGACAAGTTAAATGCACGGGCCGCGTCAGCGTGGGCGATAGCTGGCAGCTCTTCGGCGATGTTTTGATGAACCCGTTTTGGTTGCCACACTTAACCATTCCACGTGAGGCTGCCTCTTGGGAGGCTCCGCTACGGGGGCGTTTGCACTAGCACGCATTGCATTATGCTATCGGCAATACGTTTGATCATATGTGGAGCTTCAAGGTCAGTACACCGGCCCCTCTGCATCGTCATTTGCATGAGCCCGGAAGGGATCGCGCCATTGGCCTGAGTGCAAGGAAGCCACGCTTCGGCTCCGCTGGAGAAGCTGCATCGTCATCGTAGCCGTATTGGGGGCTGAGTTGCGCCTCCGCCTCCTGCTCGCATCGGTCGCTATGCTGTGCTGTTCTCGAGGCACGATAAAACGCGGCGCCCGCCGTATCTTGGGAGGAAGCAGTCACCGGGGGGACGCTGTGTTGAGTCACACGCTGTTTTGTGCCGGTTGGAAGAAGCCCGGGTCGGGTGAAGCGCGGGTGACATCCACCTGAAGTGGTTCAGACGTGCACCATCGCTGCACATCGGAGCCCCGCCGCATCAGCCGGGAGAAAAACGTCTCGTCAACTGCGTAGCAGTAAATTGTCGCGGGTTGGCGGGCGCCGATGAAAGCGTCGCGCCGATTTCGCCCGAGCTCTCGCGCCCGGCGTCGCCGGGAAGATCGCGGGCGGATAGCCGAGTCGTGCGCCGCGTTAGCCGGAGAGCGGCGCCCGCCGCCCGCCGCGGACGGCCCTGGGCGTCGCGGGCCCGCCAGCCGCGCTCCCGCATCCGGCCGTGTGTGCTGGCCACTCGGCGACGCTTCAACCAGCACCGGCCATTAGAGCGGAGGCTGCGATCGGTCGCGGAGCTGGCGCCCACGCGGCGTGCGCGTGTCGGAGAACGGGCGCGGGCTGGGGGAGGCGCTCGCCACGCGGCCGCCGCTGCCGTCGCTCGGCGCTCCCACGCCCTGCGGGCTGTGCTCGCGCCGCGCCCCGTAAAACGCACGCGGATGCGGATGTCCTCGGCGCGTAGACGGCCGACCGCGGAAGGAGGTCACTGACCTCGGATCGGCTTCTCGGCGGTCGCGTGGCCGGGCCGATCTCTATCGGCCGGGCCCGGGCGGTCCCGGTCGGCCGGTGTGCATTGTCGGGCACGCCGCGGCATTCCGCCGACCAATTAGGCGAGCGTTGCAGGTGTGACACAGGAAAAGCCGCGCCGGACCGCCGCAGCGCGCCTGCCGGAATGCGATCCATTCGCCGAGCGGTGGTGACACGTCGAGCGGGGACGCGGCGGGCGGATGGCGCATCCAGGGCCGTCGTCGCGAGCTGGCCGCGCGGCGGTCGCCGCCGCCGTGGACTCGCTCACGACGGCCGCTCGTCGGCACGCCCGCCTCGAGCGCGCGTCCGAGGAGTGTTCGTCGGCTCGTGAGGGCCGCGCGGTGCGGAGCCGGCGCCAGCCGTCGAGCGGAACGAGCCGCCGACTCACGGATCACGGCGGCGGCGGCGGCGGCGGGCCGTTCGTTCGTTCGTCCGTCCCTCCGTCCGCCCGCCCGCCGGTGGACCGAGCCGGCGCGGAGCGGGGATCGGGCGCCGCTCACGCTCATGTCCTATGTCCTATGCTGGCGTCTGCTGCTGTTCTGCTGTCGCGGCGTCACCCCGCACGTCCGCTGCGGTACCGCGGAGCCGCCGGCCTGTCCGACTTGTGGCGGCGGCCGCGGTGTCCCAGGCGGCGGTGGCGACGGCACGCGCCGTGCCGCCGGCGGCAGCTGAGCGGCGACTCGTGCGCCGCGAAAGCGAGCGCCGGCCGGGCGGCGCCCAGCGCGCCCGTTTGCTCGGCGCCTCCTGACCTCCAGCAGCGGCTGCGGCTGCGGCCGGGCCGCAGCCGCCGACGGAATTGGCGCGACCCGAGAAAGCTCGGGAGTGACCCGGTCGGCGGTGGCGGTGGCGGGCGAGGGCGCGACGCGGCGCGGCGCCGCCCGGCGCCAGCTGCGAGCGCGGCCGGCGCGACCGGCGCGGTGGAGGTCCAGACCACCGCGTGCAGGTGTCGGTCGTCGTCGCTGGGCGGTTCTGGTGGGTCGTCTGACCTCCGACCTCTCAGCCGCCCGAGGAAGACCCAGATTGACGTCAGGTCGGCCCGCGCTAACCCGATCCGTCGAGCGACCCGTCTACTTGAGACTCGTGTGGTGCACGTGTGGACTCACGTGTACCGACGGCCGACGGGCTTCGCGGTGCACGTGCGACGCGTGCGCGTGCCTGTGGAGACGTGAGCTACGCGGCCTGACGCGTCCGCAGGCGACGCGCCGCGGCTGGTCGGACGGTTGGGGCCCGAGAGTTTGTTTGGTCGTGTTCGTTTGATGTCAAAACGATGCGGAACTGTTGGCCGGACGCACTCGGCAGCGCGCGGTGAATGAAAGCGAGCACTTTGTGTGAGAGACGGTTTACTCAGAAATAAATGTCTTTTGTAGGCTGTCTGTGAGGAGTGGAGTTTCGTTGAGATGATGTGCACTTCCCTGTCAGTCCTCACATTGCCCGCGAATGGAACTGTCACCATGACTTCAAATTATGACGCTAGCTGCCGGCATGATGTCCCGAATTAATGGCATTCCTAGGCTAACCATGGTAATTATCTTCTTAAGCCATGGTGCCGAGTCCCACTGATCGTCCAACCCGATGTGGTGCCCAGACGCAGGATACGATTATCCCGGTAGTGGATCAAAAAACATGACGCAATATTTAGTCAAGTAAAGTACAGGCCACACGGCCCTTGCCATAACAGCCAAACAGCCATAACAGCGGGCCTGGTCGGTCGCATCAGCCGGGTCGCGGCAGTCGGGTGATGCCTTGACGCCGTGGGAGAGACACCAGCTGTGCGCCACGTGATCGGGCAAGCTGTGCAGTCCTCGCTGCCCCGTACATGGCCTCCCGTGTCGCGTGTCGCGCAGGTGAAGCCCGCTCGGTGCGCTTTTTACCGTGGCCGCGTCACCGTCTCACCTTCGCCGCCCGTTCCAGTTTTTCGCCCGGTGGAACGCACACTTGGCGGTGTTATTCCAACCGCCCGCGGCGCGCCTCTCACCCGTGAACAAACACGTCTTAGGCGTCGCCTCCGGGGAACGGATGCTAGGCCGTGTTGCCAGCCCTTGCGCGCCGGCAGACGACAAAGGCGCCGTCGCCTGCGTCCGTGCCTGCGTGTCCCCGAGACGGGCGGTGGTCGCGGTCGATGGGAGGGTTCAGAGACGTTCGGTGAGGTCAATCACGTGGGCGGCGGTCGCACCCGCTCCGTGCTGCGCCGCTTCCCAGTATGGACGCTGTCCCGAGACGGTCGCGCTGACGGCCGAGCGGTGCTCTGTTGTGACCGTCGGCGTCCGCTCCCTGACAAAGTCGGCAGCCTCGCGGAGCCGCCGTATTTGGGCGTGGACGTGCGTCACTGACACGCTTGACGTGCGGCGACTGCTGTCTCGAGACTGCGCGATGTGCGTGTTCTCCGCTCCGAGCTGCGGCTATCCGGGGTGTTCTCCGCCCTGAGATGCCGCTATCTGGCGTGTTCTCCGCTCCGAGCTGCCGTTGTCTGGCGTGTTCTCCGCTCCGAGCTGCCGTTATCTGGGGTGTTTTCCGCTTTGAGATGCCGTCATTTGGCGTGTTCTCCGTTCTGCTCGAACGCCATATTTCCAAATAAATTTGCTTTCTAATGACTGAATAAAAATGAATTTACTTTTTAGTCATATTACGTATTTATATAGCATTAGTACAGGTCGTATTAATCCGACTTGCATTCGCATTAATTCAATCTATTTATATCATGGGTTTGTGCCGGAGTTTAATGAACAAATTGAGCTGTTTGAAACTAGGAAGTGTGTTTCTAGAAGTACGTCTTAACATGCGGCGGGAGACAAATGATGTGAGCAAGATGTCTGAACTTGTTTTATAAACCTGCGTTGGTGAGTGTTGACAGGCCGGTGCCTTTGGTCGGATGTGCTGTACCAAAATCATTATGTATTGTTGTAGGGCGGTCAGTCGAAAACACAGTCGTGCACTTGTCAAGTAGGTCGAAAGTGCAACATTTGGATAATTAGCTGAAGAATGATCGCTACCCTTGCCACCAAAACGTGGCTTTATCCAAAAACTGTGTAATTAGGCGACGGCCGCGCAATGAAATCTATGCAACGCGGCGGATGCTCACAAAACAGGCGCCTGGCGCGGCCCGATGTCCGTTTTGTCCAGTTTACAGCTCGTCCTCACGCCCCATTCTCCGGGCCTGCGAGGACACGGCCAACGGTCGCGCCCTTCGCCGACCACTCCCGGCTGGTCAGATGACCCCCGAGCCCTGTGACGAGCCCATCGATCCCAATCAATCTCACCAGCGCGCAGCTCGGGCCCGGCGGCCGCGGGAGGCGGCGTGGCGTTTGTGGCGCTTTTTGTCGCAGTCGTTTGAGGCGCGTGCGGGCGAGGCATTCGTGGAGGTCCGATTCTGTTCGCAAATGACGTATGTGCCCCCTCGTGATGAATGCGCTGTCTTTGTCGTGTGCGAGTTGCGGACCTGCAGATATTTGGCTGCCTCCTGCATTCAGAGCTCAGCCCCTCGGCGTTGAGATCCGT